TACTGATGACTTGTGGTAAGATACAGTGACTTGCTGATTAAAGAATCTTAAACCTGTGGTGGGCTCTAACATGACTGAGTCATGTTCTTTGGTCATTTAAGGACCTTAGAAACCAAATGCCATCCACACCAACAAGAACTGAATGGAAGATTTGTGTGCATTTCTTTTATTTCTTTGTAAAAATCCAAAAGATATAAGCCAAACTAAAATGATATCAAAGTCAACTGCTTAGCGAGTAGCAAATCAATAGTTCACTTCATTTACATATGTGAATCAATAGTTCAAACTTCACAAAGCTCATGCTCTAATGAGATCGGATAGTATGATTCTTTTACGATTGAAACCCAGTTACTCGATGAATGCATTCAAGGTAAGAGAAAAAGAGCTAAAAATATCATTGTATCATTGAAATGCTCTTATTCTGTACAAAACTGGGGAGAAATTACCCCTATTTATACTTAATATTCACTTCAAATAAATGACACTAGATCCAACATAGAGATTACTAATTTTTACTTACCATCTAACCCTAGCCCTAGTTTGATTTAAATCCAAACTAAACTGGTTAGGAATCAAAATCGAATTAGGTCAACGATTCGATACTAGTTAAAAATAAAAAATAAAACATGAATAGGAATTATGGTGTAGTATTTAGCACATCAAATTTAAAATCTAATGACTTAGTTCAAACCTTGATGATAAAGTAATTCATTTTTTTTATTAATCGATACAGGTGATTCAAATCCGAATCTGAATCGAAATTGACAGTTTTGAAACCATCTTAAAAAACCAATGAGGCTGACGTATTAACTGTTCAATCCAGTCGTTTAATTTAGTAGATTGTAGATCTAATAACTGTATAATCCAATCAATCATCGATTAAATACATCAGCCTATTTTCTTCATTATTAATAAGAAGATCACCTAACTCTTCCAGAGAGAAGTAGAGGTATGTTGATGTCGTTTTGTCATCAGAATATGGCAAGATGTGACAACATGATAAATGCTCTTCGACCTACAGGAATGTTATCCAGTTACCTTCTTTTAATTGTTGTCTTCCTAGATTAATATGCCAGTGTTGACTGTGACCATTCATTGGAGTCTCCTTCCCAACTGTACACTATTAATGCCTGGACTCTCTCTCTCTCTCTCTCTCTCTCTCTCTCTCTCTCTCTCTCTCTCTCTCTTCCCACCTTCCCAGCCAAAATGGATTACGGTGCCACATGTTTCATTGATGAGGGCATTCAAATGAGCATACAGATGTTGTAGTGAGAAGAGTCTATCTGCTTTTCCTCGATTAAAAGATCATGTATAACTTACGTGGAAGTAGTCGCCAATGAAAGTACATATATATACATATTTTATTTTAGGTATTTTGGTCGTCCACCCATTTATATATGCAGTAAGGTGAGGTGCTACAACCTTCTCTTTACATCTCGCTTAAACATATTCTGGAGTTGATTCGAGCATTCTTTGTTCCAATGTAATAATACTCTATGACAGGATAAGCTTATCATCGGTTTCTGACCATATTTGTCAGCATGCAGTGATACGAACAAATTAATGTGTACTAACACCCAACTGTATCACTGGCGAGATAACATGCATCCTCTCTTAAATGATCACAATCAGATCGATACTGCTCGCTATACTGAACATTATAAATAGGGCAGCGCACTCATGGTTCTTCTCACCTCAGCCTATCCAGCTTCAGGTAGTTCACCAGTGGACAGACATGGCTTCCAAGGCTTTACTTGTGTTTGGTGTCCTCTGTGCGACTCTCCTCCTCGTCTCCTTGCAGATGGCAACAGCCAGGGAATTGAGTGAGAAAACTGGTGAGCTCTCTCTCTCTCTCTATGCCAATGCATGTTTATGGCTACGTAGAATACATATACTTGGGAATAGTCTGACGACCATTCTGGCTGCCATGCAGAGCACCAGAACATGAAGGAAGAAGGTGCCGAGGACCGGAAGTATCCCGACGATCGCGGATACGGTGGCTACCCTGGCCGTGGTGGTGGTTACTACGGTGGCTACCCCGGCCGTGGTGGTGGTTACAACGGTGGCTACCCCGGCCGTGGTGGCGGTGGCTACTGCAGGTGGGGATGCTGCCGCCGCGGCTACTACGGTGGGTGCCGATGCTGCTCCTTCCCCGGAGAGGTTCCAGATGCTGAATACCAAGCTGAACCGGGGAACTAGATAAGTCTCATCCAGTACTGTTCTAGTAATCCATATTATGTACTGTGTGGTGCTATGGTCTAAAGAGTGAATTATCCAAAGAGTTCTGCCTCCTGGGTGTCTCTCTTAGTTCGTAGTTGGTATGCTATGGTCTAAAGAGTCAATTAGTGTTCTATGTTCTGTCATCATGAATAAAGTGGTTGTTCTTGTTTGATGCAAATGATATCTCCTACGTGCCTTATGAAGATGTTGAATAGTGCTTCTTCTCAGATAAAATGTCATTCAGTGCAAGAGTCTGCTTCCAGCCCACACCATTCTCTCTAAAGCAAATGTGTTGATGCTGTTGTTTCAGGTATAATGACGAGAAAGAGAGAGAGAGCATATGGCAACGTAAGCCTTGTCAACACTGGTGACCACCTCTCAGCCTCCAACGTTGATAGCTACAGTACTACATCGCCCAGGCGTCGAACATGACTAAGCAGCTAAGAACAGTATCATCTAAGGATATGATTCTTATGCACTTAAGACCAAAGAAATTTAATCATATAAATCGTAAGATAGAAATATATGATCACGATCATGCATGAACATATATCATGTAAGATTAATTTAGTTTGACCAACCATTATTTTGAGAAGAACAATAATCATGTTTAATATGGACTATTGCAGTTAAAAATTCATTCATAATTGACCTACTCTACACACAGATATTATAAAGACAACAAATGGCACAAGTGCCCGGTACGATCAAGATCATATTGCTTGCATTGACTTCCACGCATTTCACGGATCGAATGTGGTCGACTACCGACGTGCACATTACTTGATGCAACTTGACTTTTGTCTCAATCAATCTCTTCTTTGAAAGCTCATAAGACCTAATTGGATAATGCGTCGTTTATACAATGATTCAGGACGCTTCACAAGAAGATTTACGGCTTTTCGATGTATTCGGCAAACATAAATTTGGCATTATGTGTGCTATGGACTGATACTTATTACTTAATTATTGGCCGCAGTTGAACCATTATTTGTTGGGTGATCTATGCATGAAAAATAAATTTCTAACTCTATAGATATATCCGAATTTATTCTAAATATGATTAAGGGATGTTCAAACTTTGTTTAAGTGGATCGGATATATATGAATATGAAAGAAAAAACTCAATCTACTGATCATGTTACTATTTGATCATAATTAAGGTACTTGCACATTCCACTCTATTTAAACCTAATCCCAGCTAAATATTTAGTAATATTAATTAATCTCAAATCTAGTTAAAGGATGAGAAAATAAATCTTCCAGTTGCTTCTCCGATGAGCTTCCTTTGAAAAAATATTTTAGCTAGAATAAGAAATTTACTTGTTTTCTCATCCTAAAATGTCCATGATTATAAAATTCTTTCGTGCTTTTTTTTTTTTTTTTGAATTTAGTCATACAACATTGTCACTTTCTTTAGGATAGGTCAATAGTTATTTCTGTGGATTTATGTGTATTTTCCAAATAGATGATAAGGGTTGGATTAATATGCATGTCCTAACACCCAAGTATCTCATTTGTCAGATATCATTTTCTCCTAAATGTTCACGGCCAATGCCGGAGGAAGCTCACGAAGCTTATAAATAGGGTATTGGAGTGCATGGCTCTTCTCACTTCAGTTCATCCAACTTCTAGTAGCACTCACCGGCAGTCAGACATGGCTTATAAGGCTTTGATTGTTCTTGGTTTAGCAGCTCTTCTCCTTTTCTCTTTGGAGACGGCAACAGCCAGGCACCCGGCTAAGAAAACCGGTACTGATAACTCTCTCTCTCTCTCTC